GCCTTCTAACACAGGATCATCCTGATTGGGTCAAGAGTGTCAGGGAGTGAGCATTCCAAACAAAAAAAGTCACTTCCTGTTCTGAGGGGGCGGGGCTTTGATGACGTCAAAATTTGACCTCAGGGTATCGTCGGGCATAGGACAGGGATGACTCTTGCCAAATTTGGTGCAATTCTGTTTTTCAACGTGAAAGTTGTAGCGTTTGGAAATTTTTGGCGTGAAGCATAATTTTGAGGTCCGGCCCCGCCCCCTCAACATGCGTCGGTTTGCACCGTTTTGATAACTTTTGGTCCCCCATGCCTACTGAGCAAAATGGCGCAAGTTTGAAACCGATTGAGCGAAATCCCTAGGAGGAGTTCGTTCAAATTTGCCGTGTACGAAAAGTGAAAAACGGCCAAAATTGACCCTTTGACCCAAAATGGCCGACTTCCTGTTTGGTTTAAGGCATACCTCCAAGAGACTTTTTTTCTTGATTCGGTGGGTTGTACATGTGTACCAAATTTCAGCTCTCTAGGACTTACCAGTTGTCATATCTCACGTTAGGGGGCGCTGTGGCGCAGTTTGGCCACGCCCACTTTTGGTTCCATTAAATACCTCGAATTTCTCTCGGGGGACAATTTTGGGTCAAATATGGTGAGTTTTGGGATATGTTAAGGCCTCCAAATTAGCGCTCTTTGACGGAAAAAAATTAGCAACGACACAATAACAATAGGCCTTGCCTTCGCAGCGCTTAGCTGCTCGGGCCTAATAACAATGTGTGTAGACATGGTCACACATTATGCCACAAAAATCTGGTATTGATCGGATGATATATCATTGAGATATAACTGTTACAATATTGTAGGGGGCGCTCTAGAGTCAAAAGTTAAAAAACGATACTAACGTGTCCATAACTGCTTACTAATGATGCACCAAAAATCTGGTGCAGATCGTATATTTCACTGAGATATAACAGTTTGAATAATCTAGGGGGCGCACTTGAGTCAAATTTTAAAGAACAATAACAATGTGTGTAGACATGGTCACACATTATGCCACAAAAATCTGGTGCAGATCGGATGATTTATCATTGAGATATAACTGTTGGTATATTGTAGGGGGCGCTCTAGAGTCAAAATTTAAAAAACATTACTACTGTGTCCACCAGGGCTAAATAATAATACACCATAAATTTGGTGCAGATCGGCTGATATATCACTGAGACAAAACAGTTTGAATAATGTAGGGGGCGCACTTGAGTCCCATATTAAACAAGAAAACTAAAATGTGCATCGGTTCTCAGTAATGACGCACCAAAAATCTGGTTCAGATCGGTTGTTGTATCACTAAGATATAACTGTAAGAATGTAGGTGGCGCTGTGGAGGCTCTTGGCCACTTATCATGGAAACCTGTTCAAAGGTGGATAATGATCAATCATAGTGATTTTGGTTCACCTGGGCTCAAATCTGTGCAATTTAGAGCCAAACGTATTGTAACGGCG